ACCGGTCTTTGGAAGAGCACACATTCGTTATTCCCTTTTATCCTCGGCTAAATAGCCCAATGATAAGTCCATAAATCTCGTTTTGGTCACCCATTAATTTATACCATATCATTACGCAACAGAGGAAAAAGGCACAGAAACCCAAAAGATTATAGGGCCCGGCACACTAAACAACTACCACATTCCGATTGCAAATGCCTCAAGATATGAAAGCGAAATTTTCTGCCTTTGCACAACACTTCGGAACGTGATATCTGCCTATAGTAATGTATAGACGCTGCATTCATTATACAACATTTATTTAAATAATTAATGATACATACAAATATATTGCAGAATAATGGCAACTTGTTATCAAGGCTGCCAAATGACTCAAGAAGCTGTGGAGCCACTCACAGACCCATGGGAAAAAGTAAAGTTTAATAAATTGAAAAAAAAATCAAATTAGTGCGATTTTGAACTCTATTGAACCATTTCTATAAATGCATTTTTTCTATGCCCAGAGTTTACTTGATCCAACCATACAACTGCAAAATCAACTACTAAAATAAGCAATCACACAACAAGTTGTTAGAGCAAAAACTCTAATGCTGAAGGAATAGCGACTGTTTAATGAGGACCTGAAAACATGAGGATTAACCTAAAAAGACTACTTTTATATTTGCAACATAATTAGTTAGCTAACTAGTGAGGAATCCGCTCATTAGATTTAAACATGTTTTCCACCGAGATTGCGTTGTTAGAAGGAAAGCACCAAGGAGACGAGTACAAGGAAAGAGCATTAAAACTTATCTCAAATTTGCTAAATGACTTGGTAAATATTGTGGCATTTTACTTGCACCTTTTAACTAACTATTTCCGGGGGAGTGAGAGGATTATAAAAATCCTGGTTTAGGTTTGACTGGAAAAGGCTGTTTGATGTTTGCTGGATTTCAAAAAGTAGTTCAAAACTCGCATTTAATAATTAACCTTTGGTATACTAAAAACATAGTTTACGTGACCAGTTTTAAATATTTTCGAAGCCGAACAGTTGTTTTTGAAATGCCAATAACAGGTTTGCGAAAGAAGGTTTATGGTTTTTCGCTGTGTATCAACTAAATTAAAATTTACTGTTTCTTGATTCGCATCTGCGCCAATTATTGTACAATAGAACGGCGAATATAATTGCTCCTAGTTTGTCCACGATGTAATTAAAATGCGACAGAAAAAGATCTGAATATCTCGCAATCTCGAGTATTCCGATAATTTTTACCGTTAGTTAAAGACATTACGAGAAGTTAACAAAGTTCTTCTTACAACAATAATATTTGTGCTAATGGTCATCTTGTCAGGCTGTTGACTTTAGTCTCTTTTATTTCCACGGCTTATTACATGGCCAGTCAATGTAAAAAACACTGTTTAAAGTTCTGGAATGCAATTGAATACCATTCAACATTTAATTCCTATATTTATTTGTCTGCTTCTAAGAACGTCTTGTAAATCGCTCAAAGGCTATTTTATTTCAACATGTATCAGCTAAATGTATACCTGTATATTTCAGAAATGGCAAAAAAGGAGTATTTATATATTGAAAATTTAGGACGTCAATGGTAGCTTGCCTTGAGTGGAAAGAGCTCGTCATTGTTTGGAATGCGGTTTAATATACTCCCAAACCAAACTTAATTGGTTATCCTAGTTTTTATTCAATTTGGACAAGATTTATGGATTAGCAGGGTGGTTAATTCAGTCCAGATGATATTAAATAATCTAGAGCAATTTTTCTTGTTAATTAATCGCTAGATATTTCTATTTGTTGCACGCACAAAAAAATATTAATTTCTTAGATTGTAAATTGCACGTTTTAACAGTTTTTCTCTTACAGTTCCGCGCTGTCGATTTTGCTAATTCACTCTCATGCACTTTGGTAATAGCAATAATGAATTTTGCAATTAATAACATTGTTATGACATTCAATAACACTGGGTTAAGTGTACTTATATAGGTTTCTCTCACAAGATTGCATTTATTTTAAACACCATTGTTTTTGTTTGGGCATATTCGCTCAATTTTTTGCGCAATTAATGCATTTTAATTACGGTTCGCAACTTTCATCCACACATGCGAAGAAGCTGCCAATATTTACGAAAAACTAACATGGAATGACTTTGGATAGTCACAGCTGGAAATTTCTATCAACCATTCGACCTTAGAAAATCGGCGTTAGGAATCCAATGACAATCGCCTACTAGAACATTTCACTTCAACTTTTATCAATATAAGTTTCGGATGTTTCTACATACAATGATTTGCTTTTAATGAGCTGCTTCGGCAAGCAATATGTTTTCATGATGTTTCCCGTTCCCATTAAACCTTCTCATCTGATGTCCAATCGACATTTTTACATACACCTAGAACCAACGTCAGAATTATCCCCATATTATCCATAAGTACCTGAGCAAATGACGATCAGCATAAATAATTTCCATGGTAAGAACGGCAGGTGATTCTATCTATGTTCAGTTGGTACCATTCTTTTATGCTTGGTGTCCGTTGTGGGATCAAAAATATGAATTCTATGAATTTTAAGCAAAAATTATTCTTTTCATTTTTCCTCAATCCTCAACAGTCTATGAAATATCGGGGTATGAGTAGCTGCTAACGAGCGAATTAAGAACTCACAACTAACAGTGAAAAAAATCCAAGAAAAATACCCAAATTGTCGTTTTCTTAATAGACTTGTGAAGAAGTTGTACGAAGAAGCAATGCTGCAAATTTTAGAAATTACCTGGGAAATTATCCGGGTATAAGACGAATTTCTGGGCAAAATAACACATCCATGCACAATACATTGCACGAAAATGAACTGCACTCCTATCGTTACTAACAAGTTCTTCTTCTGGATCTTCCGCGAGTGTGAATGGTGGAAAGATCGATTGGATAGTTTTTCAATTCAACTCATTTTCAGTAACATGTGGACTGGAGTAATTGACAATGAAGTCGAAACTGGTGAGCTTTTCGGGATTTTGGACCGCCGTAGAATTTCGAAATCGAATATTTCGCAAGCACCAGCACCTTCAGAGGTGGTTGTTGCGCCGAGCAAACCGCAAAAGTCGGGAAGAAATTCTATTGCACGATGGCCTAAAAACCCGAAAACCCCCCAGTTTCCAGGAATAACCGCAAAAGTCTGTCTCCTTTGGAAATAGTAAAGATCACACACAATTTCGTCTGGTCTTAGTCCCGTAGTCCCATTGCTTGGCCACTGCGCTATCCAGACCTCAACCCGTTTGACTTTTTGAATATTATTTGATTTATTGCGTATGAATGAAATATAAAAGAATACCACACAGGTGGCAATAAAAAATGGCATTATACCTGCAACTGTTGTATGATATTAAAAGAACAGTTAAGCCTAAAATATGATTTTTATTTCTCGCTGCATTGTTTAATGCGATATTGGCGAATTAATAATTTTTATTGCTTCTGATAAGTATTAACTACCAATAAAGGGGCATTAAAACGATCAAAATTTACAGCAATTTACAGTTGAGAAGTAGTAAATGGGAGGCATAGGCGATATTTTATAAACAATTGCACCACATAACGGATCTACTTCACGTGAAAATGCAGTCATTAATATTATGGTAGAATAGGTGTCTAAAACCGTTTTACTTTGTTTTCATTCATTTATCTACTTAAGTAAACATTACTGATAATAATATGACTGCCATTGTTCCGTCTTCCGAAGTATATATATACTCCGTTCTTCTGACGCTTGAAATAGAATTAAATTTGCAATGGAAAAGCACGTTTCGAAAAATGGCTAACAAGGAAATGTAATAAAATAGTTTTCTGTCAAGCTGTTAGAGATAACTATATTACGAGGAGTATATATTGGAAAATAATGTAAATGTTAAAGTTGAAATTAGAAAGGAGTCAACCTCATGTGGGCAGAGTGTGAATCCTAAATCCCACATTGACCAGTAAAATAAAATAACTTTTCACAGTTCTTGCGGTTTAATAATACTACACAAGTACTTGACCACGTTAGTACATAGGTAAGAAAATTATTTCAATGTATTAACGACTGATTTAAAGCAATTTTAATACACCTATAACCATAAACAGGATATCGAATATCGACCAATTAAATGGAAAAAAGACGTTAGAAACAGATAATTTATTTCAGTGGATGCATTCTCAGTCCCATTTACCATGCATTAACCAAATGAAATGGCTTTTAGTTCATTTCCGAACATCGTTATTTTAATAACAGTAATAAAAACATATTTTATCAAGACGATTTTAGTTGATTATAGAACCAGGTAATTATTATCCTCTCGGAGAGAAATGAGGGATTGTAGGTACCCATTATTGTATGGCTGGTATCAAGGATGCAATTTCAGTAAATCAACACTTAATGCTCAAATATTTTGCAAAATCGCTTCAAATCATTATTGCACCATTTACATTGGCAGAGCTTGGAAACGGAAGTGCATCCTTTGCAACATGATTTATCTGGTTTACACCAAGGGAAGACTATTAATAATACCTGATTCTTTACCATAGGAAATTATTGGTGAATGGAGATAAGCTCCAAAGTGCACCATATATTAGACTGAGTCAAACTAGCAATATCTATTAGAGAGCGTTAATAGCGAGCTCGAATTGCGACTCATAAGGAAAATTATTAAATTCCACGTCCGGTTGCGACAATGCCATTTCATTAATATAAATTTAGAACAGAATTGGTTTGGAGTCTCAATAGACGACATTTTCTACTAATTTGCTATTGGGAAAGAGGCAAATATTTTCTGTAAATTAGCGGGCTGTTGGCAAGGTGATGGCATCAGGGGCAATTTGCAATTTATTTAACACGGTATATTGCAAAACTTCCAAATTTAATCTTAAAAAATCGCGCTCTCTCAAAATTAGCGCTCAATCGCACCATTAGCAGTCTTCCGCTCAGGAATGCGTACTCAAACAAGTTTCACTGATGAAATAGACGTTTCTAAACAACTTACTTGATTTTATAGAAGACAATATCGCATGTTTCCGACTATCGTTCTGGTGCTAATCACTCAATAAATCCGGTGATTATTTTCCAAGCGCGTAAAAATAAAAACAATTCAAAATCCAGTTTACACAGCGCGGGTTAACGCGAGTAGTACTAAAGGCATTTAAACTAGCGATGTCACTGCCCTATACTCGTAGTAAAGGATCGCACCAAAAGAATAATAGTACCATCAGTACCATCAGTACCATACGTCCATGTCACCATCGTACCGCGTACTGTTTACTACTGTTTGCCGGCATTTGCTTTTACTCATATCGCCGAGCTAGCTCCAAGTAGTCCAAGTACCCTTACCATCTCGTTTTCAACCAATCTCTATTATTGGCAGAATGTTTCTTTTAATGTTCTTGCCTCTTAATGAGCTTCATTTCGACAGCAGCGGCTTGTTCATTCTATGTGCATTTGTCATCAGAAATTGATTTAGTTTTAATTTTAGCGCTATTAAACGCGCAAATCCATTGGGAAGTTCTTTATGGTTGAGGAGTGCGTTTTTGGCAAATAAAAAGATCCCTCATGATCAATTCATAATAAATGGCGTGAGGAAGTGCGGCGTTTTCAAAGTCCCTAAAAATAAAGTTCAATAGAAATCAACTGAAAAATAAACCAAGTGTTTGAAAATTTCCGCGTTTGCAAAGTGTTTCATTATCGAAAAAGTTTAGAAAACCCTGCTGTACAGAATGGTCTATGAATGGATACAGAAATAGCCAGCGATTTTTTATAGCAGACACAAGATTTTGAAGATAACGTCGGTTAAAAATCGTAAGTGCTCAAAGCCCGTTAAAGTCATCCTAAAATGTTCGCTTTTTTCGGATCTGAAGCTTCCAGCGTGTTTTCACATTATGATCTTTCCAAATCAAAATTAATTCCTTTGTTTCAGTCATTTATTGTCTCTATTTATCAATTAAAATACGTTTCGGTGTATTATATATATATATTTTAATTGATAAATCGAGACAATAAATGACTGAAACCCAGGAATTATTTTTGATTTGGAATTGAAACACAGTCAGGAAAGTATGTACAATTATGATCTTTGTGATCAAAATGATGGAGAATTGCAGGAATTTTGAGAAAATTTTAATTAAAAACAAATCGACCTCTACCCTGTATACAATTTTCGGGAAAAAAAGTCACCTGCGTATTTTTTCAGGTCTATGAATTGTTTCCAACCTAAGAAGCTTTCCAATGTGCACATATAAAGTGTCTGGAGCAGATATCGGTTAAAAGTCGTGAACGCTCAAAAACGGCATGAAATGGGGTAAAAATGTCGCTTATTTTGCACCTAAGGCTTATATGGTCATTTTCAACGCGCTTGTTGAATTCTTGACTTTTGGGGAGAATTGATATTTTTTCAGAAAAAAAAAATTATTAAATTTTGGGTAAAAATCAGAATCTCACATGCGTGTTTTTTTAGCTCAATGGATTGTTTCCAACCTACATTCCCATTTTTTTTACAAACTTCTTGTAAACAACAAGAAGTTTGTAAAAAAATTCCCAATGTGCATGTATAGCTCTATCATAAGAAAGATATCTGAAAAAGCGCTTAAAATGAGCAAACAAAAAGTAAAGCGTTTTCGCGGCTCGTTTCTCCGCTTCCCTAAGAAGAAAAAAATTAATATTTTTGAAAGAAATTGCGGACGGTGAAATCCCCTTTATCCAGAACATAAAAAGGGATTATATAAAAGCGAAATACCGAATTTCTGAGATCTTCGGAAAATCTGTTAAATTTCGCGGTTAAACGAGATCATAGACGCGATTAGGTCAGACAATAGAGAATTTTTGCGTAGTGCCGCCATCTCGTATGAATTTTTGTTGGCCACAAATGCGCTGTTTATGTTTCTTATTTTTGATAATTGGTCAATAAAACCAAATTTAATAATTAATTTTTTTCTCTAGATCTAATGGCGTCGAGAGCACTTCGGAACGCGCTTCAATCTAAAGTCAGTTACACACTGCAAACTTTTTACGACTTATAACACAGTAAATCGTCAACCACTTATTTGTACATTATACTCACAAAAAATACACGTTCCAAGTATTGAAAGTTCAATTTTGGTATTCTTTCATAAGTTCAATTCTAACAAAGTTTGGCTGTTTGGTGTTAGTAACGAGATGTAGATGGCGATGGCACTTGGACAAAGAAAAAAGGCATTTTTTTGCTTATGACGCCAGAGAAGCAACTAATTATTATTAATTTGCTAATTTTTTTAGAGAGAACACGGATTTTCAGCACCTTAAGCATATAAAAAGGAAAAAATGACAAAACCCTCAATTCCTAGAACTTAGTTGGAGATTGAAACACGTTTGGCCATCAACAAATAGCTCCAAAAATTATCAAATAATGTTTACAGTGCCACAATAAATTAAACAACCTTTAAGTGTACAATTAACCGTACAGTTTAATTTATTGCTTTGAGTGATTGTGAATAAGTCGATAGTGTAAAACCGGCATAATGCTGTCAATTCATTTTGACATCTAGGTTATAGTGGGCATGGTGTGTGTATAGCTTGGTGCGAATTAGGCCATTCGTGGGCCAGTGTGAGCATATATTTTAGGCAGTGTTTTTACCGATTTTCTCGTTTGTGCGGGAAAGTATGTGATTTTGCGTTGGCGCAAACGCTCGTTGTAGTGTAATAACTTTAATTCGTTCTGATAAAAGTGAAATCAACCCAACTCTACTGTCAAAATGGGTTCTGAAAAAGAAAAAATGGATAGAGTGGTGGATGTACTGCGGTTTATTGACCTGATGGTTAGACAAATGTGCCGAAGGGCTCATTATGATCATCTAACAAGAACCAAAGCTAGTAAAGAGGATAAAGATAGTATATATTCCATTGACCATTTGAAGAAAGTTTATGACAAACCTCGAGAATCTATTTATCATTTAATTAAGGTATTTCATGGGCCAATCTTCCCCTATTACAAAATCAATAACGCAATTTGGTAATTATACAGGTGATCAGGCCCTCGCATACGCGGTTAGCAATCTGGTCACCTTATAGAACATCCCTTTTTCAAAAACTTTTCTTTATGGACTTTTTTTTCACTTTGCCTGTGCATCGAAATGCATATTATGGGTATTTTGATAAATTAAAAACGACCAAAGCATAGTTCTCATCAGCGAATTTTCTGAAAAAAATCGACGATTTGGCAGGTGTCGGAAAAGGTTGAAATTATTGCAACTTTTTCCGATAATACGGAAATTCGGAGGAATTTTATAGGTTATCTAAATTCATTTTCATTGAATAATCTTCAATCTTTTCACTCAATGTCCAGTTTTCAAGAATGGATACCTGCATAATATTATAATTACAATTTACAATATAGATTGAGAGTATGTGTGCGCCATTTATATGCAATTAATATATAATACAGTTGAGTCCGGATATAACGAACTTGAAAAACGAACTAAAACTGGTTCGTTATATCCAGAGTTAGCTATAAGCGAATAATAATACAAAAACACGTGATGTATTTTATTTCGTTATTTTTACATACAGTAGTAGAAGTTAGTAGGTATGACTAAAAAGAACAGAAAAAGATAAACAGAACACAATTTGAAATCTTCTTCACAAAGTCTGTAATTTTTGTTTGTACATTTCTGCTGCAAAAATAGATGCTATT